CGTGAGACCTTTTCTGTATGGTGACTTTTTAGAGGGTGAAAGTATGTTTGCCATATAACAAGGCCTCTTTTTTCATTTGCAATAATTTACCCATAGGTCATTTTCTTTATTTATTTCATCCATTAATAAATTCATTTTCAGTAGAATTTACATTTAATTAGTTCTCAATTTTTCATGTAATTGCATTTAATAAATTTATTAATAATAAAACGTTTAATAATAGAAACATGAATGTCTTTGTTTTCCATATAATTTTTTCATTAGTTTTTCATTATTTGTTTGTTGTCATAATTTATTCAAGTTTTTATTGTCTCTTTTTTGTTGTTGGGGTTAAATTTTCTTCTGTGATATGCACCTTTTTGATATTGAGCCATCGTGTTTCCCTATATGTTATTTTATTTACTGTTTTGTTTTACTTTTCTTTGCTTCTATTTTTCACTTTTCACCCCACACCTGAAGTAGATAAAAAAAAATTACATGGGGAATAAATAAATAAAATGACTAAATAAAATGGGGAATAATAAAGAAAAAACAATCTCTTGAACAGTTTTTGGTACTCCCAAATTTTCATTTCACACCCAAATGTGTCTCTTTGTTCTGGACCAGCAGTGAATTGAAGCCACTGTAGAACCAGTTTCTCCAGCTCTGATGAAAAACCATCATGCTGGTTTACTCCAAGGAGCAATTGAGCTGCTCTGTAGGTGGGATGTTACTTCCTCTGGTCAGCCACTTTTTGATGTTCCTAAAGAAGCACACATTAAAGACAGATTTGATTTGTGATGTGCTGCCTGTGTAGCTGTTGTGTCAGTTTAATGAAACTCAGAGATGTACTGGACAGGATTGAAACATTTTGGGAAATCCGATAGTGATTAAACCGTGTTGAAGAGCAGCAGGGATATGCATAGAGGCTGTACAGGCACTGGTGATCCCAGACAATCAGCAATTTATTTATGAGTTGGACGAAGTGCAGAGCAGGAAGAAATGAGGTAAGGCACTGAGCGAATTGAGAAAATTTTATTATGCTGTAGTCTACATGCACCAGGGGGTCACAGCTTGCTCTGTGTCTGGGTAGGTAATTCAGCATGCAGTACCACAGACATGGTGAACTACCGGCTGCACAGTGTATCTCCATCCACCTCTCTTTGTGGTCCCTCCCACTTCAGCCATCGCTTGCTTTATTGCTTGTTTTTTCTATGCTAACCCTTCGCTCTTTTTCCTCTTTCCTGATGGATCGTTCACCTAACGATCTGTCCAACCAAAGAACCCAAGAGACTCGGTTCAGCTGTAGTTCAGGCCATGACTAGGAGAGAGAATATGCGAGAGAGCTCAGTTTTCATCATTTTTTGATCTTGTGTAACTGCTGCTTTCTTGTGATAATTGCACACATAAAAAAACATTTTTAATCTCAACATTATCATTTTCAGCTTGTTATACTAGCCCAGCCCTTCTACTGAGGCATATGTGTCATGTAACATAATAGACACATTTTACCTGAGAGCTCCATCGTTTCAGGAGCATTTCAGACACAAAACGGCAGCTAAAGAGTTTCACAAAGCAGGTCTTGCAAGGTCATGAAACAACAGAATTGCAAGACCACGTGTGACTTCAGGAATTCACCTGATAACAAGCAAGGAGAAAGTTGCATGTATTCAAAAAGGTCTGTGGTTTATTTCCTGTTCTGTTTACGTCAGCTACAGAGGTTTTACAGTAAATGACATACTTTATTTTAACCAGATAATCAACTGGACATTTGCATGTGACTTACGTTTTGAAAGTTCCCTGTTGCTTTGCACTGCTTATGTATTTGACTTCCTGTCTAACCTAATCTGAAATGCAAATTTTGACACATTCTGGAAGCATAGCGTCAAAAATAGACTCAAAGAATAAAGGCCCATAAAGGTGTTCGCCTCTGGAGAACTGTAGAAATGTACACATCCACTATAATGGCTGCTAATTATGTTTAGTAGACGATACACAGCACTTACACGCCCAGTGCAAAGGCCTGATAAGGGATGCGTCTATTTTATTTAATTTTTTTTTACAATCGTGGTTGAATTTGTTATACCCCAATCAAACAATATGCATTCAAGCATTCCCCAAAATAAATTTAAGTAATCATGCACGGGGGCAGCCATTCTGTAGATGTTTGCAGAGGATGGTTGGAGCTGTAGAGCATGAGCATGTGTTTGTGAGATCTGTAGTGGCATCGTCCTGTCCTCAGCCACCTTGTCTCTCCGTCTATGTGTTTGCTTTGGGGTGTGGGTACTCACTTGGCAGGTGGCTGGCTGCCTGTGGCGGAAACTCGAGCTTCATACGCTAGAGTCTGACACTGAGTGCATAAATGTGTGGATGCTCAGCGACACATCCAAACAGCTCAGACAGCCAGAAAAACCAACCCATGTTTTAGATTCACAGTTTTTTTTCATGAATGGATATCTAATTATCACCGAGCTTTTCAAAAATGTTTTACAGAAGATGATGAAACCTTGATGCAGCACATACCCTTTTTGCTGTCTTAACAACAGGTTGGTGATAGATAATGACGCTGGGGTTAGGAACTCTCACAGTCATTTCAGAAAGAAGCCATCTGAGCCAGTCATAATGAAAATTAATAATAAAGCATTTAATAAATAGCTCCTGAGCCAGAGAGGTACCTTTACCATCTGCTACGAAATGATTCCCTGCTTTTATTAAGTCTAGGTAGCTATTATGTCACTATGGAGATGAGATGATAATAAGGCATCATTCACTCATTGTTTGTCTTTTCAAGTTCCAGTCTGGGTGCTATTTTTCTCAGTCATCTCAGAACTGTTAAATGAGGGGTTCAACCACACGGAGGTCTTTAATTACACAGCTACGACTATACAAATTATATATGCTTGCTGTTGTTTGGTTAAATTTGATTGCATAAAGGGCAGCATGGATTGGTCTCTTGCAGCAGAAGGGTATTTTGATGAAGCTGTCTGCCCGCAAAAAATGTTCCTGAGATAACTTTCAGAATAAGGGTCTCCAAAGGCACAGTAACTCAATATGTTTTAGCTCAGCTAAAAGCATATTTTTGCAGCTCTTTGACAGTGCTATTTGATCTAACATGAATCATTTAATGTATGCACTTTGGTTTGAAGGCTAGCATTGATTTTAAGTTTCCAGCAAAAGGCCAAAGATTGAAAATGAAATTGGAAGGGTAGAGCTGAGCCGCATCAGGAGACTCAATTTATGTATTTAATGTGCTTCTCTTTGGTTGTGTTTAATGTTGAATAGTGTCTCTGCGCACCTGCTATCAGACCACATTATCCTTAGCCTAGCTAGTCATCTTTGCCCTTTAAAGAACAACACGAGTGACATTCTGGTGTCCTAATGAAAATCTTTGAATAAGGTTAACCTATGAGGCTTTCTTATTAGGAGATTTTCGGGGGGGGGGGGGGGGGGGGGGGGGGCACTGGTAACATGTTTAATTCTGCAAGAAACTTGAAATGAAATGAGAAGGATTTTTTAAATCGATGTAATATTTGGTGAGACAGATTTTGTTTAGAGAAAAGCCTGTTTAGTAGAAGAATGGAAGCTTAGGCTTGTTAGCTGCACTGCATTTAGGAAAAGAGGCCATAGCATTCTCCTTCATGGACCTCTTATAATTTCATTAAAAACTGAGAAGTGAATTTAGAATATTGAGTCAGTACTCACTATGTTTCTGCATGTTGTGAAGCACCTTGGATGGTTTTAAGACTCTAAAAGGAGGTATATCCAATACAGGCCATTTATAATTCATCTCACTTCCTGTCAGGCTCATGTAATTCCTTTAACTGTATGACATGTGGTGTCTGAAAAAAACAGACTGCATGCAGAAACTTTCCTGTGCTCAGCATCCGTGTACGCACCGCACCACAGCCAGTGTGGCTGTTCTGATTGGATTCAATAATTTTAGATCCATGTGTCCTGGTTGCTTTGGGAGATCATTAGGTTTCCCTATGGAGGAGCTGGAGAAATTGGTAAGGGTGAATTACTTCCCTCCTGGTCTATTACCTCAGCACTCCAATTAATTGTACAACATTAGTGGAATCTCAGTGGATAAGTGGCCAAAACTGGATGGATGGATAGTGGAATCTTGCGTTATGATTTCCAGGAATCCTTAAAATGGACATCAACTTTAAACTTGTCGTCACCACAAGCCATGCAGAAACATAGTGAGTACTGACTCAATATTCTATCTTCACTTCTCATTTTTTAATGAAATTATAAGAGGTCCATGAAGAAGAATGCTGTGGCATCTTTTCCTAAATGCAGTGCAGCTAACAAGCCTAAGCTTCCATTCTTCTTTCTAAACTGAGTAAACAGGCTTTTCTCTAAACAAAATCTGTCTCACCAAATATTACATCGATTTAAAAAATCCTTCGCATTTCATTTCAAGTTTCTTGCAGAATTAAACACGTTATCAGTCCCCCAGGTGCTACACAACACACCCATGCACACACACATTCATACTCTGGTAGTGATGTGCTGCAATGTGGCCACAGCTGCCCAAGGGGCTCACTGACAGAGGCGAAGCAGCCAAACACTGCAGCTACTGGTCCTTCTGACCACCACCAGCTGACAAGAAGGGTTAATTGTCTTGCCTAAGGACACAGCTGGGGATGGGAGATAGTGAGGTGCATATAGTATATGTCAAAACAAAAGTTGTGTCACATCAGTTTTTCTGGCTTTTGTTTTATTGTTGACAGCAGTATCAGTTCACAGTGTATGATAGTTAGCCTTATTTTTACACATATATTTTTATACGTATGCTGTTACATTTCTAATCATTTGGTGCTCTTGTGTGAGTGCTCAGATCACAAACTGCAATTTGCGTGACTGGTCGAGCGTCCAGAAGTCGTACACAAACTCGATCGCCTCCATACAGTACTCAGTGTGAACGAGGTGTCAGTCCAGCAGTCACCCAGGCTGAGGACATCCTGGACTGGTCACCAGTTAATCAGAGGAAAACTCAGAGACAAACGAAATGTCAACTTAGTCAACATCAACATCTAGCGACAATTTCAGGCTGCCATTCAACCTGACATGCATGTTTTGGGCCCGTGGGAGGAAGCTGGAGTATCGGGAGAAAACATTGGATGAGAAGGACATGCCAGCTCCTTACAGAAAGACTGCAGCTGGGGTTTGAACCTATCATTTTCATGCTGCCAGGTAACAGTGCTAACAACTGTTCCACCATGCATGCCCTACTAAATAAAAATCTTTATGAATGTAATTTTTTAATGCAATATTCGCTTTGAAATATGTTAAAAATGAGATGAAAAAAACATTCAATTTATTATGATTTTCTGTCAAACCAAGTTTAACCAACTTTGAGTAATACAAAGTGTCTAGAATGGAGTCATCTTAGGAGGAGCCAAAATGCAGGAATAGCCAGGTAGGTTTAAAAATTCCAAAAAGGTTTTATGTAAAGGCTGTGGAGCCAGAGCAGGATGATAATAACACATAACGATGCAAACATAAGGAACCGACAACGAGTAGTGGATGTAACTGGGTTTAAGTAGGAAGTGATGAGGAAACAGGGAACAGATGTGAGGATTACTGATTTGTTAATGTCTTCAGGTGTGACTTATAACTGGGGAACGGGAGGAAATAGAAAAACTCAAAAGGACTGAATATGATAAAATAATACGATACTAGAACTAAATGTTGCAAGAATATACTAACAGTGTTTCCCAACCCTGGTTCTCAGGGCGCACTGTCCTGCATGTTTTCCATGTGGCTCTTTCAAACACCAGTGTTTCACTGCTGCCACACACCTGCCTTAAATAAATAGGCCATTAACAGGCATCTGCAGCACTTGATGTCCTCCTGAGGAGGCAATGTGAAGCAGGTGCACTGAAGCAGAGGCATTGAAAACATGCAGGTCAGGGTGCCCTGAGGACCAGGGTTGGGAAACACTGTACTAATAGATAACTAAGTTAAACATTGGACTGGACTAAGGGAACAGAACATAAATACATTAGAAAACATGACTACAACTGAACTAGAAAGCTGGGACAAAAAACAAACAACGAACAGGTAATGCCAAACTTCATTTTGTAGACCAAGAACTTAAATGGAATGTTTATTTTTCTGCAGTTTGGGATCCGCTTCTCACCACTGGTATGTTGTGCAGATTCACAAAAGCTTTGCAATTGATGCTCGATATGGAAAATCTATAACACCATGCTTTTTGGCTTTTCTTTCTTGACGTAGACATCGTAAGTGATGAGAATGTGTTCATCAGTGGGTTTTGCGTCCTCCCCAGGAGCTCCTTGTGTTAGACTTCATGTTGCAGCCGAAATCTGAAAGGTCTAGCGTGAAGCTCTCTGAATCAGGGTGCAGTCAGCCAGTTGTGATTAGACCATGGATGGCAGGTCAAGGAGAACAAAGAACCAGCTGTGTAGGGGACAGAGATGAGTACATTTCTCTTTTGATGCGGGTCTTGGATAAATTAACATTAAAAAAAAAATCTGTTCAAACAGTGAAGCAAAAGGCCAACTGCAACGTTTATTTATGGACAGGTACTTGCAGAAATAAACAAGAAGAAAATGAAAGCTGTTCTAGATTGAAGCACTTGGTGTTTCAAGTTTGAATGAGCCACAGGAACATCTAAGGTCCCAGCAAGACGTGATCAGTAATGCACCTCTGCTAAAATAGTTATAGAAATGTAATAAATGAATTGACGGGTGGAAAAAAAATCACCTCTGACTCCCTTCGCTTTTTTGAAGTTTTTTAAATCAATGCACTGTTGAATCTGGGAATTGCATGTTCTGGTGAATGATTTATACCATTTCTCAGACAAAGAAAGTGCTAGAATCTTCCTGCCAGCACTTCCTCTCCACCTCTTTGAAAGCACATGCCTTTGTAGCTTGTGCAACAATATGTGCGAACGCAAAATATGTGTGCCATAAATTAAGGTTGACTGGACAAAGCTTGGATTTTGCCCTTCTGCTACAAAGGGGTATTATTGTGTGGCAGAGAGGCGGAGGAAAAGCGAAGTCATCTGCATCTGGATGGACCAAAAAGTGGGCTCTTGCATTCAGTCTGAGCCCCTGTGTGGCTGCTGGGCCAGGCCTGCTGCTGCAGATAGACTTGTTCCTGCTCGGAGCCCTCCCTGGCTCCTTACCCTGCCTCAGCCTTGAGACAGATGGAGAGGAAAGCAGAGGAGGGGAGGGAAAGAGCTCCTTTTTCAGTGCCTGGCAGGAGTATTTTGTATGAGTGGTGACTGTTGGTTTACTGTAAACAGTTTGTTGAGGCTGATGAAGAATGAGAAAGCAGAAAGACAAAAACCAACATGTCCATTTAATTTTCCCTGCATACGAATAAGAAATGGCAACTTAAAAATACACTAAATTCTGCCTGTACTGATGGAGAAATTATTGGGGGAATCAATAAAATACTTTCTTAGAGCTCGAATATGAATGACTTTGTAGGTTTGTGCCTTCTTTAGACTTAAAAAATAATTAGCGTTAATAAGAAATATATAAAAAAATTGTTTCTAGTTTTTGCAAACCTTGAATTCAAAAACTAATTTTAAAATGAAGAAGGCAACATTTCAAGACTAAATGCTTAGACCCTTTACCCCACATAGTCTGGCTTGCCAGGCTACTGATTTCCCTTTTTCCTATTCATTTTCTCTCTTCCTTTCCTTGCATTATGATTTATTTAATCCCTAAAATTTAGTAATGTTAAACATATTTTCATCATTTTTTGAAATCTTTTTTATACTCATTGTTTTTTATTTATTTATTTATTTATATATTTTGTGAAGCTCCTTTTTTATCTTGAGAGGTGCTATATAAAAGATTGTTTTCTTTCTTTTCAAAGTCCGTTTTTCAGTAACACGACTTAGACCGAGACACCATTTAAAGGCTCAGGAACCATTTCCAGGTGTTTTGGATTGATTAGCTGACTGGAGTGTGACACATTGAGTCTAGAATATTGAACCGTTACACAACAATAATCTACATAATAATAATAATAATAACAACAATCAGCAACTATACCAAATAAATGCTTGAAAAATCTGGCTTAACATGTAATAAGCCTATTTTAGAGGCAGCAGTAGCTCAGGAGGTAGAGTGGGTTGCCTTATGATCAGAGGGTCATGGGTGTGATTCCAGGGGTATTCTGCTGTTGTGTCCTTGGGAAGACACTTCACCCGACTTGCCTGTGTTGGTGGTGGTCAGAGGGGCCGATGGTGCAAAATGGCAGCCTTGACTCTGTCGGACAACCCCAGGGCTGCTGTAGCTACACATTAGCTTACCATCCCCAGCAGTGTGTGAATGTGAGAGTGCATGAATAATGGAAAGCGCTTTGGGTGTCTTGAAAAGTGCTATATAAATCCAAACTATTATTATTATTATTAGTAGTATCTCATTAGTTTCACCTTTTACGTTAATTTACTGAAGTTAATAAACTTTTGCACCATATTCTAATTTTTTTGCATTTCACCTGTCTTACATGAGTTTCAGGGTCTTAAACTTTTGTTACTGAAAGTTTGCACATTGCGACCAACAGGTTATGGATTTGGAGTTTGCATCATTAGGCTTCCATATTAGTAACAATTATTGGTTTGTTTTCCTCTTTGATAATCAGATGAATCATTTCCCTATGTAATCATTTATTTTTGCTAGGCGAAGATCTCTGCCTTTTGGCTGTACGGTAGCTTCAAAATCACAGCAGAAAATGTTAACTCTATCAAGTGATCAAGTGGAAGTATCACCCCAAAATACTTCAGTTTTTCTAAGAGTCAGATTTTTAAGAAGTCCTTTCTAACTTCAGTTTTTTTTATGTATTTATTTGCATTTTGGAGTCACCATTATGAGGCTAAATGACCCAACCATGCTGCTGGTTATTGCACTGAGAAGAGAGGCTGAGAGCTTGGCTGATGATATTAAACCCAAGAGCCTGATCAAAACATGACACATGGAAAAACATTTGCCTTTTCATGGATATGTCTGAAACCTAAAAGTAATCACCTTTTTTAGATACTACAAACACTTTGATTAATGACCTGTTTAAAATGTCTGTGGAATGGAAGACGTTAGGTTTGGCAGCACTTTTTTTAAGAATTGCAACTGTAGAGATAATAAACCCATAAATGTAAAACTGGAGTCCAGGAGCTCTGTGCCTGAGCTGATGTGTCTTGGTGTGCTCGGGAATAATTACGTTAAGGGGTGATCATTCATTCACCGACTACAAAGACGTATCTTTGAAAGAGTTGTGAGGAGCAAAAGCTGGAAGCAAAAACAAATTCAGAGGAACATTACCTCCTGCAGTTTTGCATGCCATACAGTGCACTGCAAACAGCCACTTTGTGCCAGACGAGAAAGGAAAATGCTTGGTGAAACAAATTGATCCTCTAAAAGGGCTCAGAAAACCTTATCCTAGATCAAAGCTCATGCAGGCGCTTAGATCGCCCACTGAAAAGGCAAAGCAGCAGGGAAAGAAAGAAAAGTGAGGGAATGTCTTGTCTTTTCTAATTATACATTTCAGACGGTTCGCCACCAATTATCTCCCCTTCAGTAGCATCTGCCCTTCATATGACCGCAAAGTGAATGTCAGTTTTCCATCGTTGACTGGAAAACCAAAGCTAAATGTGTGGCAATGTGCCAGGATTCTCCAAAAATCTGTTTATGAGGAATTCTAGAGACAAAGAAGTGGGTTTGGTTTTTACTGTTAATTAGTGCAGTTTATTCATCCCCACCAATACTAACAGTCATGACCTTTGTGTTAAACCTGCACCAACAAAAACATCCATTTACTCACAGGCTCTTCTTTTACTTTGTGGAGTCAGCCAGGTACTTAAGAGCAACAGAGGTGTAGCAGTCATTAGTTACCACTGTTTTCACTTTAAGACTTGGGGCAGAATTATGTGTAAGAAGCAGTGAAGCAGTCCACTACCTTCATGTTGGTCTCCCAAACTCCCTTCGGCTGTTCCAAGAGCTGCACAGAACAAACTTTCAACACAAGGACTGGAAAAGCTCACAGAAGCAACAACAGGGTGTGGAGATCTTGAATGTTATTATGAGGAATTAAAGAAAAAAACGTTTTTTTTTAACTCTAAAAAATGCATATTGATAATGGAGCTTGAGATCCCATGTGACAAATTCTGGGATGTGCGCAGATATGTTGATGGCTTTACGAGTGTAAACAAACTGAAAACAAACAGTATGTCACAGGAAAGAAGCAGATTTGGGAGAAGGGAAGTGTTAAACAACATATTATGTTCCCAAAAAGGATGTGGAATATACAGGAATACCTTAAATAAAGAAGTCAGGGTATGTAGACAAAATCAACATTACAAACTGTTTGGATTCACATGAAAGACCGGAGCACCGATTACAACTTGTTGCCACCGCAGTTCTGCGAAACAGACATTTTCGGCTATCTTTGTTGTGGTGTGAGCATATGTAAACGTCCGGATGAGAGGTACATGTTTGATTTGTTGGTTTTTCTAGTAAAACAATTTAAATTATCATCCCAGAACAAATGTAGCAGGAAAAGTTGTGTCGTGTGTCAGTGCGCCAGCATTAGCCTGCTGGTATATATGTGTGTGTGTGTGTGTGTGTAGCCTATGTGAGTGTTGTGTGTGCATAACGCGATGGAAGGAAAGAAAGTATGTATAAAAATACATACAACATCTGTAGCTTACCAGAATGAATATACTCTGTAAGGTTATGTTTGGTCGCCTAACAGCTGCGATCCAAGTGAGCCAACAAGACTTTTGTTATGCTAGATACTTGGTCTCCGTGGTTATGCCTCCAAGCAGGAAACTGGTGAAAAGTTTTTCACCTTTTTCCCTGGCGATCACGTGTTGCACCCCACAACACAGCAACAATTTACCATAGTTGTGTGGTATTACAGATCAAACGATTAATGTATAAAATTAAGCCACAAGAACGAGATTAGTGAACTGTTGTCTGGAGTAACAAGCAACAAGTAAGGACTCGTAGGCTGCCAACATGGTGGCCGCGTCGGTCTTGACACGATCACGAACCGTATTCTGCCTATCATGTTTGTTACGTGTACAA